TATATATACTTTCCATGTTCATTCAATTTTGAATCAGTTGACTTATTTTTTCAATAAGTGATTGAAAATTAAATGAGTTATTTTTTCAAAAAGTTCTTCGAACGAAAGCAATGAAGCGCTATATTTACCAATAAGTAAATACTCAGTAAGTAACTGAATGTGCATATCTCATCGTTACCCTAAGTTATTCACTAACACGTTATATTTGTACAAACACAGCACAATATTATTACTTGAACAACAATAACAATAAGTTCACGGGGGTGTAGCAGTATATAGGAATGTATCTTAATCAGTTACAAGTCTAAGCCTGTACAAAAGCTGGAACGAATATGGGTTAAAATGCACCAGCTATTTGTGTGTGTACTGCAATATTCATCCATACTCAACAGATTACAAATTTCTCAATCATAACTAGTTTGTCCAGTAATAATAGCTACTAGTGCTGGTACTTAATTCTGTTTCGCTCTCGTCATTAATTGCTTTTTGTTTTTCACTTGTTGGTTATTATCAAAATGTTTTTTTTTGGATTGTTCTTTTCAAAATGAGAAGAAAAAATTAATTTTCTTTTCATTCATTCAATTGAAATTTTCGTCTCTTTTCATAGAAATAAACATTGCACTAAAAGTTTCTCGTCTACGAACATTTCTCCTCCTACTCAACAAATATGTACACAAATACATAGACAACTAACTGACTAGATCGATAGAAAAATGGAATATTTTTCAGCATTTGCGCAACAATTTTATCAACTATTCTTAAGCAAATCACTCCTAGATTTTCTTTCCACAAAAAAAATTAACAACAACATCACTGAGCTAAATAAATAGCTCACGTATAATCTTTTCATTGACTTAAAACTTCAACGCGCATAAATTTATAAGAAGTTTTAAAATTTGGATTGGCAAATTCATAAAATTTGCATAGTTTTGACTGATGAATTAATAGCGTTTATTTCATGAAACGCGATTAAAATGACTGGATAAATGGATGATCAAAGCAGCAATACGAGACAAGATGAGAAAATGAGCGATGAGTGTGTATTTGATTTAAAAATTTCAATGCAAAGACAGGATTCGAAGACGATGCAAATCTGAGTGATGAAAAATTTTTGTTTGAACATCAAATGTATCTTGTGCACGACGCGGCGCATGTATTGTGCTTTTGCGAATGCGCAGACTCGTTTGAATGATAATATTAATAATAGAATATAATGATATTATGAAACAACAATAACAAATACATACGTATGCATAAAATAAAAGACTCACGTTGAACAGAAGATGAGCATGGCTGAAGCGTTCATCATACCAATACGGGTCAATCAAATGTACTAGAAATAGTAGTAATTGTTGACTGATATACATAACTATTAATAAAAGTAATAAAAATAATACCTACTCATATTAGTCAACCACTGAAGAAGTAATCCACAAAGAAGACTCGAACCCAGCACCTCTTCTTGTATACTGCGCATGTATTTCATATCATATTCTACTTCATAAATCGCATTTCCTTCATCCATCGATCCACCAGTGCAGTTGTTCACAACACTATAGATCATACTAACATGCTTTTATTGTCATTATTATCAATCGCCCCTTCATTTCAAAAAAAAAAATCCCGCACAAAATTTAATGATCAAAGAGAATGTAAAGTTACCCCGTGGTTTCACTAAAAACTGTCCCTTACTCTCCGTTCATTCAGTGAATTGAATAAGTAAGAAACGAGGAGTTAGAAAGTTAATTAAACGAATTGTTTGAATGAATCAACGAAATAATCAATTGCATAACGACTTAATTATTTACAAACAAATTTCCCTTTCATCAATAAAAATCATCTAAACAAGAACACTGATGGTATCCAGCACACTGGAATAACCAAATAGCGTTAATATAACTTTTAATCAGTTCAACTATTAATCTCTTTTATCAGCGCATATTGTAATTATTATCATTATTGTAATATTACACTTACAATTATATTGATTTAATAAAATATATTCTATACACATGTAAAAAAACACCAAAAAATGTGCATTATAAATACTTATTAGATAAAACAGAATTCTGCTGAAATGAAAAAATGCAAACGACAAAATACGAAAGTGTAAATATCACAGAAATATTATTACGTTGTTAAAAATTTTTTCGGCAATTCTCCCAATAGTAGGTGGTTAGGGCCGTTTCGTAGTCAACGGTTATCAAAAACACACTACGCACTACTGGAAAGTTGTCGAACAAAATTTTTAATATTAAACATTATTAAACATCAGGTTGGGTCAGAGCCTGCACAATATATATATATATAT